GAGTACACACAGTTCAACAGAGGGTTTCTTTAAAAAATGTAGAAAAAAATAACGAAGCGGTCATCCCGTGATGGGTCATACTCATGCAGGCGGAACTCTATCAGCACCATCCCGTGGACACTGGGATCCCTGCGTGGGGTCCCTGCTCGTAAGGTCTAGTAAAAGAGGGTAAATTACCTCTGATGTACCGTACGCCGCACATAGCTGGGATATTAGTGAGTATGGCGTGAAACAACAAACGACAAACAACAATTGAAGGAGCCGTAAAAGCACTGAACGCGCGCAGTCATAGCGAGGACGTGACGACAGGTTATTTTACGTACGCTTCATACGCGATATTCAATGATGGAGATGTCTCTTTGAGGGGAAAGTGAATGAATGAGTGAGCTAAATAATAATAAGTGCATTTTTAATGCGCCAGATTCCATTCCCCAAGTGGATGCTCATAGTGCTACACTATCATTACCCCGGTCAATGGATCAGTGAGCACTTGATATTTATTCTCAGCTCCCTGGGGAGTATACAACCCAAGCTGCCCGTGGGGCGCTAGAAGGTTGACAGCCACATTACCATCTCATCCTGCCGGGTACCCGTTCACTGCTGGGTGAACAGAGGCACATTTCGAACAAAGTCACTTGCCTAAGGAGACACCACAGTGTGCCCTACTCATAAGGAGTGAGTGAGTCAGTTGGGTTTAACGCCGCTTTTAACAGTATTCCAGTTAAATCGCTTAGTGTCAGCTTAATATGGGAGGAAAGCCCGAAGTGATGCAGATCTCAGACGTTTACCACTTTGGTGAAATCCACGAGCACGGGTATGGTGGTGACAAACCTAGAAACAATCGGGGTGAACCGGGATTCAAACCCTCAAAGGTTTCTATTGTTCCCAAGGGACGCAACTGCACAGCTAATTGCGGCGCCTCAGACGACTGGGCCACCCGTGCCCTCTTAAAGGAAATGACACTCTTGCATGAAGTGCAATAGAACTGTTTTGTTAATAACTTTCAATAGTGTGAGATTTGAACCGACAACAATTTGAATACAAAGTTTGTTTCTTTCACATCCGTCGTTTAAGAAACAAATCATCTTATATTCACCATATATGTCGTGGACAACATACATCAAGGATATACTTCTGAGATATGGCTTTGGATACGCATTGATAAAACAAGGTGCAGGCAGTGTATACTGGCCAAAAAAAGAAACGCATAGCTGAAATCTGTTTTTCAAACTTAACTGTTATTAAAGATGAAGGCTTGAACTCAATATAAATGCCAATGCTAGCTGTGAATATTGACCTTACACTAATTTATTGCACCCGAACACAACATTTGGTGACTTGTACCCAAAATACAGCATCTTGAAACAAAACTGGGAGAAATTGCATGGAGAAAAAGCTGTAAGCATGCAAATACGGCTACTTAACCTCTATGCCGATTGGTATAAACATTTGGCAGTCCTGCTGCGAATCACTCTCCGGTGTTCTGTATAAGTGACTCTTATGATGCCAAGACTGAAGGAAGACTGTAGAGACAGAGCCATTGGACGTCTGGAAGCTGGAGAAAGTCAGACATCAGTAGCCAGGCACCTGAGGCAGTGAGGCAGAGTACCATTTCTCGTCTGTGGCAGCGCTACAGACTCCACAACACTACAAGAGATCGACCGAGAAGTGGAAGACCCAGGGTCACAACTGCGGCGCAGGGCCGCTTCATCCGGGTGTTGCATCTTCGCAAACGGACAATCAGTGCAGCATACACAGCTAACAATGTTCCTGGTCTTCGTAGAGTCTCAGCGCAAACCATCAGAAATCGTCTAAGACAGCATGGGATACGGCCAATGAGACCATATACAGCGCCCGTTCTGCGGCAACATCATCGTCGTGCACGTCTTCAGTGGAGCAGAAATGTTCGACCATGGACCCTAGTGCACTGGGGAAGGATATGGTTCAGTGATGAGTCGCGGTTCATGCTGTATCGCCATGATGGTAGGATGCGTGTCTACAGACGGAGAAATGAACGCTACACTCGACACTGTATTCATGAAGTCGCCCGATACAGCGGTGGAAGTGTCATGATGTGGGCAGGCATATCCGTGAATGGTAGGACAGATCTGGTGCACGTGCAGGGAAATTTAACTGATGAAATCCTTCAACATCACCTTATTCCCGCCATTGACGTCAGAAGAGAGATTTTCCAGCAAGACAACGCAAGACCGCATACTGCACGTGTTACCGTGGATTATCTTGCCCACAACAATGTTACTGTGCTGCCATGGCCCTCCAAATCGCCTGATCTAAACCCCATTGAACATTTGTGGGATCTGCTAGACAGACGTGTACGACGCCGACAGCCTCAACCACAGACGCATCAACAGCTGAACCATGCATTGCAGAATGAGTGGAGAAGGATTCCACAACGCCAGATTCAACGACTCATACAGTCCATGCCCAGGCGGTGCAGAGCTGTGATCGATGCTCGTGGTGGTAACACCCGGTACTGACTTTGGCACAGTGCCATCACAGACACAGACGTCCCTTAGAACATTAAAAGACTGTTTGTTGTGTAAGAAACATGTGCCTCATCCCGTGTAAAATTTGGGTGTTGTATCTTCATTATTTATTGTGTAATCCTATTTCATTAAACATGTAATGAAACACAGATTATTCTGTTGTGCGTTTCTTTTTTTGGCCAGTGTAGATGTATCCCTATGAGAATTTAAACAACAAGTATTTGACTGTAACGTCCAAAGGTGGCATACGTCAATAACAGCAACGTTTGATTTGGAGTGAAAAGGGTGTGTCCACTAATGAGTCAGTTACTACTTAGCCAGGTACTATTTACGGCAAAATATTATGTGTATATATTAAAATTCTTGAAGAGATCTGTACATCTAATAACTATACAGTGTATGTTAAGGAGCTAGAGTTTCATGTACAAATTAGCGACAAACTTCAGAAAATGGACCATGCAATGCTGGAGGGAATATCAGAACCTCTGCCCAAGTGATGTCTACCAAGCCTGCACTACTACAACCTGTTAGGCCAGCCACGTGGTCCTGTAGGGTCTGTTGTAAAATCGTGGCATCTAATGTTAATTAAATATTTACCACCCCCTCCCTCTACACCCCCCCCCCCCCCCCCCCCCCACACACACACACACACACACACAGCCAACAAAAAAAACCAAACAAACAAAAACAATACAGAAAAACAAAACAAAAAACAACAAGAAAAACACACACACACAAAAAAAACCCAACTTGACTTGACTTGGAAAATTGAAACTGGAAAACACAGAACCTGGACCAAGAAAACAGATTATGTTATTATTGTATCTGATATAATGTGATATAAGTGACTGAAACCGAATATCATTTCTTGCTCATGGGGCATACTTTTACTGACCTGGCGGCCTATTCACGAAGCTGTCTTAGCGCTAAGATTGGCGTAAATATGTCGTAGCGAAAAACGTCTTAGTTAAGTCTATTCTCGAAGCTGTCTTAGCGCTAAGCTATCTTAAGTTTAAGACAAAAAATAAGACAAGGTCTGACCTGTCGTAAACCTGTCTTAGGCATGCATCATGGCGTCCTACCTACTGCTCGGGCTTCTCGATAGAGAAAAGCAATCAACCCTAACACCTTCTAGGAAGAAAATATTCCGTGACAGGACGAGTCAGCTGGACACGCTAGATGACGCGCAGCTTATATCCAGATATAGGCTAAATCGGCATGCCATCATGCAAATTATTGCGAGTGTGGGGTCCTACCTCGAACGACCGACCAAGCGTTCGGTACCTCTATCACCCGAAATGCATGTTTTGGTAACTCTACGATACTTGGCAAAAGGTGGTTTTCAGTCTGAAATCGGGGACCTGCACGGTGTCAGTCAACCTAGTGTATCGAGGGTGATACACAAATCCATAAATCTACTGTGTAAACATCTGAATTTGATACACTTTCCAAACGATGCCACAACCCGTCAAAACACAAAAGAAAGATTTTATGACATAGCTGGGTTCCCCAATGTAATAGGATGCATCGATGGCACGCTGATCGCCATTATTAGACCACCGCATGACGAGGAGGTCGCTTACGTGTGCCGTAAGGGTTACCATGCCATCAATATTCAAGCAATATGTGATGCTGATCTCCGGTAATTGTACACGGTTTTATAATAGCAATGAAATTGTATATTGAATGAGAAAGATACATACTGCCAATTCAGGCATCGCCACGATCACATTAAATGTACCGCCTCGCATAGTTGACCTTGACCATGACCCATTGCGCCCCCCTGTCAATAAACCCAGCCAATGACATCGAAGGGGCACAATAAAGGTTTTAAGGAAGGGGTTCCTATAGACAAACCTATATTGATCCTAATTATTGCTCTAATCCTTCAATAGAGTTTTTGTGAACCTTCCGATTGTAACTTTAGAACAGTACAGCTGTCAAAATACATACTTAAGGCAAAGGAGGTTCATTAGGCACTTTATCACTGTTAAATAATATCATGTATTTTTTCATAATGTTTGAAAATGTTCAGGTACTGATATGTCGTATGGGCCTCTAGGCTGAAAAAAAGACTTATGATAATCTTATAGTTCTAACAAACGTGGGTCTGGAGGAGTCCCTTTTCAGACTTCTTACCTGTTGAGTAAGGATAGGATATATGGATTGACAACTTCTCTATTACGATTAGGGGCGATGTGACGTTAAATTATTAACTCACTCACTCACTCACTATTACGATTAGGAGCGTCGTTTCGGTGTAGCTTCTATTAACTGCGCCCTTAAGAATTTGGAATTACGTGTACCCACGCTTTCAAAATCCTGTATTCGCCTCTGTACGGTATCATGATAATTTCAACAATATTCGCATACCTGTCCTACTTCAATTATTCGTTGTCTTTTTCCACCTCTTCTGGGTTGTTTATTTTGTAAACGCCAAAATAATCTGCGCGATTTTTGTTCGATTTGAGTCCTTGCTTTGAAAGGGAGGTAAGCACAGCTATAAGCGGAAACGCTACCTGTTGATCACAGGATAGTGATATAACTCAAACAGTGGACCCATATATATCAATAGACAAGTGTAGAAGAGAGAAAACATGGATGAGGGGGTTACATCCGATGACAAGGATCTTGACGCCCAGCTTGCAGACTGTCTCCAAGAATCAAACATCGACACTGGTAGGCAACTCACGTCTAAACTTCTGTTTATTAAGACATCACTGCCTACACGATGCAGTCCCTTCCTGATACCCCAAACACACTAGCTCACCAACACCTACATTTATACCGCTTAAGTCAACGCAAGTCATAAATGTGTGTCCCATATTCACAAATGTAGAGTATGGACGCACAAAAAAGGACCCTTCAAAATAATTAAGTAGGGGGTCCCCTGAATCCCCACTTTTGTAAGTCAAGATGAAACTCTCTCTAATATTCTGTTTTTTTCATTAAGTCATGCTCCTGTCACCTTTGATTGAAGACCGCCTCCCTGGTCTAATGGTATGACGATATATATGACTGGCTCTACGGTCGTACATATGGTATGACGATATGTATGACTATGGCTCTACGGTTGTACACATGGTATGACGATATATATGACTGGCTCTATGGTCATACACATGGTAAAAGAATATATATGACTGGCTCTACCGTGGTACACATGGTTTAACAATATATATGACTGTCTCTACGGTCGTACACATTGTATAACGATATACATGACTATCGCTCTATGGTCGTACATATGGTATGACAATATATATGACTATCGCTCTATGGTCTTCAACCTGGTATAACGATATATATGACTATCGCTCTACGGTCATACACATGTTATAACAATATATATGACTAGCGCTCTATGGTCGTGCACATGGTATAACGATATATATGACTATCGCTCTATGGTCGTACACATGGTATAGCGATATATATGACTGGCGCTAAGGTCGTACACATGGTATGATGATATATATGACTATCGCTCTGTCGTCATACACATGGTATAACAATATATATGACTAGCGCTCTATGGTCGTGCACATGGTATAACGATATATATGACTATCGCTCTATGGTCGTACACATGGTATGACGATATATATGACTTTTGCTCTATGGTCGTACACATGGTATAGCGATATATATGACTGGCGCTAAGGTTGTACACATGGTATAGCGATATATATGACTATTGCTCTTCGGTCATACACATGGTATAACAATATATATGACTAGCGCTCTATGGTCGTGCACATGGTATAACGATATATATGACTATCGCTCTATGGTCGTACACATGGTATGACGATATATATGACTTGCTCTACGGTCGTACACATGGTATGAAGATATATATGACTGGCGCTAAGGTTGTACACATGGTATAGCGATATATATGACTATCGCTCTGTGGTCGTACACATGGTATGATGATATATATGACTATCGCTCTACGGTCATACACATGTTATAACAATACATATGACTAGCGCTCTATGGTCGTGCACATGGTATAACGATATATATGACTATCGTTCTATGGTCGTACACATGGTATAGCGATAAATATGACCGGCGCTAAGGTCGTACACATGGTATGATGATATATATGACTATCGCTCTGTCGTCATACACATGGTATAACAATATATATGACTAGCGCTCTATGGTCGTGCACATGGTATAACGATATATATGACAATCGCTCTATGGTCGTACACATGGTATGACGATATATATGACTTTTGCTCTATGGTCGTACACATGGTATAGCGATATATATGACTGGCGCTAAGGTTGTACACATGGTATAGCGATATATATGACTATCGCTCTTCGGTCATACAGATGGTATAACAATATATATGACTAGCGCTCTATGGTCGTGCACATGGTATAACGATATATATGACTATCGCTCTATGGTCGTACACATGGTATGACGATATATATGACTTGCTCTACGGTCGTACACATGGTATGAAGATATATATGACTGGCGCTAAGGTTGTACACATGGTATAGCGATATATATGAATATCGCTCTGTGGTCGTACACATGGTATGATGATAAATATGACTAACGCTTTTCGGTCATACACATGGTATAACAATATATATGACTATCGCTCTATGGTCGTGCACATGGTATAACGATATATATGACTATCGCTCTACGGTCGTACACATGTATGACGATATATATGACTGGCGCTAAGGTCGTACACATGGTATAGCGATATATATGACTATCGCTCTGTGGTCGTACACATGGTATGATGATATATATGACTGGCTCTACGGTCTTACACATGGTATAACGATGTATATGACTGGCTCTATGATCGTACACATGGTATAGCGATATATATGACTGTCTCTACGGTCTTACATATGGTATGATGATATCTATGACTAAAGGTCTGCGGTCGTACACATGGTATGACGATATATATATCTGACTATTTCTCTATGGTCGTACACTGGTATGGCGATATATATGACTTGAGCTCTATGGTTGTACACATAGTATGATGATATGTATGGCTATAGTTCTATGCTTGTACACATGGTATTAACATAAAATTTGACCATATGCCATCTCTTTCAGCGCGTGCTCTGATTGAACAAGGTGCTGACATTAACAGAACATTTGAAAATGGCTGCAATGTTCTGGACTCCGCTTATGACGCAGCCGTAGCCTCAGGGAGGATAGACAGCTTCAATCTGCTGCTTCAATCAGGCTGTCTTGACTTGGGTGTGTGTCTTTCATAATGTTCTATCCAAACGGCATTTAAAATGAATATGGTTAGGCCACACCATTTTTTACGGATCCGACGACTAAATTTTGTTGAAATGGAAAAAAAATGATAATTTGGAATTTGCTTTTTTTATCCCGCCGTTAAGCTGATAGCATATTGCACCCACACAGATATTGTAAACAAGGACCCACTGAAGTTGACATGGGAGTCAAAATAATGTTTGTTGTTATTCCAGAAATTGATAGGATGCATCGACACACAACGGTATTCCCACTTGTGTTTTCAGCTTTGCATTTCTAATCTAAAGCAACAGCTATGTTGCAGTCTCCTCCCACATGAAATCATTTTTATTTTTTTATATCAGCCGATCTGTTTGAGGAAAAAACGTAACAACTGAATTGCTTTCTTCACCCACCTACCGACAGGTATTTTCTTGTAGGAAATCTGTAAACGAAGTAAAAAAAGGCGTGGCCTTATCAGCTTCATGTCTCTGGTCCAGACTCGATTATTCAAATGCCGTAGTGAAATAGCTGAAATGTTGCAGACTGTTGTGTAATGAAACATTCACTCAGCATACCCTACTGAGTCACTCATGCCAATTGGTATCCGGAAAAAGTAATGTGGAACTTCTATGAATTCCGATTCTCCCTGATAATGTTTCTAGTTTTGCCAGAACAATACCTATGCTTGTGGGTTTCACCAAAGCTGTAAATATCTGAGACCTGCATCAATACTGTCTTATCTCCCACAATAAGCTGACATGCCTTGATATAACTGGAATATTGTTCAAAGCGTCCTTTAACCCAACTCACTCACTCTCTTTACAACATATATCAAACTAGCAGTGAGATAGCATGTTTTGTTGATAATGAAATTTAAAGTGTTGAAATTCCTATAGAAAAAAATTAGACTTAAGAGATTGTCTGCTTTTGAAACTGGTGTTCTTCACCATGGTTCTCACAGATTTGGGGTGTATTCGGCATCTTCTTGGGACTCTTGTTAAACTATGTAAATTTCCAGGTGTACAGCCCCCTAGCTGTCAGGATTTGTTGATCTTTAATTGTAATCATATTTTGTCCCAGATAGGGATTCTTGAACTGTCAGCATCATACCCTGCTTGTTTGTTCGACCAAGTCAACGTATTGCAAAGGCCCGTGAAGATCCGGGGGTAGAATAGGTATTCAGCAACCCATACTTGCCGTAAAAGGTGATTGACTTGGTTGATGCATGTCATCGTATCCCAAATGAGTGGATCGATGCTCATGATGTCAGTCACTGGATTGTCTGGTCCAGACTTGATTATTTACAGACCCCCAAACAAACAAACATACAAATGACATGGCATCACTTTGAGGTTTTGCTCTAACATTAAGGTGACATTCCGTGATTTGCCTGTCCACAGTCAGGCCCTGAGGTTATAAAAAAAATTTCGTGCTCAACTCAGTTTCGTGCTCAAATACATGCTCATGCTCAAGTTCGTACTCATTTGAGATTTGTACTCAAGCAGAGGTTATAAAACATCTTGAGTCTGTACTCAGCTGAGAACAAATGCTCGGCTTGAGCATGCTCAAAGGACTTTTTGTTTATGACACAAGCGGCAATTTGGAACTCTTTGGTCGATAATGGTGAGAAAACAACCCGGATGTTGTCGTCTGCTTATTTACAATGGCAACGGAGGGCGTGACCGAGTCGAGAAGGCAGGGCAAGGGGTGGTCAGAGGCGGAGGAGGTATGTCTTATCCAGGAAGTTGTACAACGAGAGCAACTGTTGTTTAGTGAGATCAAGGGAAGCGGTGTGAAGTCCATCCATCGACAGCGGACTGATGGATGGCAAAGTATCACGGACATCCTCAACACGTAAGTTGTTCATATGTTATCGTTGTTTAATATCATTTGCAGCATGGTACGCTGTATTATCGTGGTAGTAAGTTATAAATACGTCTTACGCAAAATGTTCATTCAACTTTTATGACACAGGATTGATCGATGCTGATTTTCTTTACCGAGTTCGGTAAAACAAAGTACCTGTCATAAGCGACTGAAAAAAGTAATGGTGGGCTGTGTCTTCTCGTCCCACTATAATTGTAGTGGAATACGTGTGCATTATGTGGTTTACATTACTTCCTGTTTTGGATTATGCATAATCAATATTCATACGATCCAGGTAGGGTCATGGTCAAGGGACATCGTCCAAACAGTTTTAGTGGATTCTTTTCTAACCAATTCCGTGTGGAGGTAGGGGTAATTAAGTTATAAAGTTCTTTCGAGTAGCCGTGACATATCGCAACGAGTCCTGTATTCGATCATGCGGTGAAATGTGGTGCCAAGATTTGCATAAGTAAACAGTCGAAAATTCATGACAAGCACACTCTTGATATGCCTGATTCTTGGTTGCATGAACTTAATTGTATATAATGGAGACATGTATTTTCATGGGCTTTCCACTCTACAGTTCCTTGACAGTGGAGAAGAAAACATGTTTTGTATATTAATTTTCAGATTATATCTCTTCTTTTATATACTTTCAGAAGACACATCAATGCCAAAAGTGAGGCTTTGGAGGTGGTGAGGTGAGGGGAAATGGGGTTTAACGTCGCGTCCAAGATTATTGCACTTATATAGCGATGTGCATGTACGTGTGTGTGTTTTATGTGGCTGCTTGTACTAGTCCGGACTGATGCCGATTTATAGTGCTAGCTCACTGAGATACCATGCCGCAGTTTAACATGAATACCCCACTCAGACACAGTATACTGACTCCTAGCCGACCAGTCCTTGTTTTAGCCCCTTAATGCCGAGCGCCAGACAGGGTAACAACAAGTACCATCTTTTAACGTCTTTGATTGAACCCCGGCCCTTCCGCTCTCCGGGTGGACGCTCTACCACTAGACCACAGAGGCGGTCTGGGAGACTTTGGAAGAAAAAAGAAGTACTTCAATTTGAAACAAAGAGTTTCGCTTTTATATTAGAAACATACTAAGAGGCATATTGTGTCTACATTGTTACTCCATAATGTATTAAATGGTTATTATATAATTGATGAAACATGTGTTTATCCCTCAATAATACATGAACCTGTGTCAATGAATCCCAAATTTAATATTTCAATATATATGTAATTGTTACTGAAATTAAACTGCAAGTTTGTATTGTAGCTAAAAGCAAGATCGATGGCCTCAAAAGGTCCATTGCCACAACTGGAGGAGGGCCCCCACTCCCAGCACTGTCCAATGTGGACGAAGTCCTCTCCCAGTCGTTGGAGGGGAGGCCGGGTGTTCATGGCTTAGAACATGGCATTCACTCATCTCCCCACCCCTAAACCAACACAAACATTATAATGAATAGTTAAGGAGTAAAATTATGCCTATTTACCTGTACATTCAGGGAATGGTAACCTTTCCGGTTCACGCAGTCTCCCTCGTTAGCGGTAGGCCGCTGTATCCTGATAAATGTTCCATCAATACACCCTACTACGTTAGGGAATCCTGTAAGTAAAACGTGTCATGGTGTCACAATAGATGGCATTCTGCACTGGGCACTAGTTTTCATTTACAGCCCATCCTAAAATCTATTGCTTGATTATAATTTGATTTTATATATTACCTCGACCTCTGACCCATATTCTTTTCACTGACCAATCAAAATGGCACTGACACGAATCACACCAATGAAATCATTTATCTATGTTTACATTGGGAAAATCCCATGTACGTACCTGCAATGTTGCCGAATGCCTCCTTCGCTCGTACAGCGTCTCCTCATACTGGGAATTTAATGAACCTTCCTGACAGTTTAGGGATTTGCAACGAAACTGCGCGTATGCATCTGCCGGCTGTAGATCGGGAAATGTTTAGGCTGTTCCCAACCAGCAGATGCATAGCGCCTGTCGCCAAAAAGCAAAGGCATACCAGCAACTGCAACAGTGGTGGAACCGCACAGTTACGAGCTGTGTCTCTGGTTAGATCGAGTAGACCAAGTAAATGAATTATAGTACTTGGCCTAAATCTATAACGTTCAAAAACTTCATCCACATCTAAATTTTTCCAGCGGGTTTGAAAGATCTCGAAACACTCTAGGAAAAAAGGTTTTCCGCCTCGCTTGTCGCGTCTGTCGCAGGTGAGCCGCCATTGTTGTTATCGAACTCAGGGTTGAGCACGGTCCAAAGCGTACTTGAGATCATATGTAGTTCCTGCTGAAGTTGAGCACGAAAACGTACTCAGATTATTTATAACCTCCGTTTATTGAGTCTGAGTTTTGAGTTGAGCATGTAACCGGATTTGAGCATGAAATCGTACTCAGGGAAGTTTTATAACCTCAGGGCCAGGTCTTTCATTATTTGGCAGAAACAGTACACAGCTCACGTTACCTTTAGCCCAGTTGCCTAAGGAGCGGCAATGCAGCGTGCAGCCTCCCTTGGGTGTACCAGAAACATATCGCGGGTTCGAATCCCAATTCACCCTTAATATGTTTGTAGGTTTATCAGCACCTTACCGGCCATTGTGGGTTTCACCAAAATGGTAAACATTTAAGACCTGCATTACTTTGCGCTTTCCTCCCACATCAAACTGACACGCCGTGATAAAACTGATATATTGTTGAAAGCGTCTTTAAATAAATCAAAATCACTCACTCTCATCATCTCACCGTCACTTTGAAATGTAAATAGATGAACGACAATGCTTTTGGTTTGCCATCACTTTGGTGACACTGTCATATTTTTCATGTCATTTTTGCATCTAACTCGCTATTCATAGATGACTGATAATTGTTAAAATCTATCCTACCCCACACTATGCATTCCTCCTTATTCTTCGATCCTGCTGTGGAAACGTCCTAGAACAAGGTTTCCAGTTTAAAAAAAACAAATTCACCCCAACACATCCTATACATAGCTATTGTTGTATCTCCGCAAAGACCGTTTTGATTGATATGGAGTAGGGCGGGATGGGTAACTCGGGCACTCGAGCCGGGTGGGTCCTGAGTAGGACCCGGGTACCCACAGTACTACCCGGAACCGTGATTAGTCACGTGATATATTTAATAACAAAAACTGACTGCAGCTCTGTGGTCACACAACAAGTCGCTGATGTTGGCATTTCTTTCTGACAATGCTCACATTCCTTTTGACGTGTATATGTTTGAGTAAAGATAAAGCTTCAGTCAACTTCAGTGTATGAATGATCTGATCGTTTGACACATGTAGCTAAACAGTTTTTGCCAAGGCTGCAGTAAAACAATTCCCAATCAGACATGTTGTACCCAACTCTTTCAGACCTACAGTGGGTACCCGGGTAAGGTCGGGTAATAGGGGGTGGGGTACCCGGGAAGTAAATTTTGACTCCTCCCATCCCTAATACAGAGTGTTTGTTGAGTTTATGTCAGTTGGAGTTCACAACAAGTGAGCATAATGCCAAGCGGAGATACAACACTATTGTCCATACTGTAATCGTGGGTCATACAGCCATCCAATCTCGTGTGATTCGACCCCGTTCGATGCGACCCCTACAATCTGATCACCCGATAGTCCCTGCACCCTCCTTCTCTTTCTTATTGAATGGTGGATAGGTCATTAATGAACAGAGAATACATTTTCTTTTTCAGAGCGAGGTTTTCTGTCTCCACCTTTAACAACCTTTGAAGTTACGTAATACGCCACCTTGTACAGGTATTGTTGACTGTTTCCTCTTCTCGTTATCAATGTTCTCAATCTCTGTCATTGTGATCGATAGCTTGGATGAAGCCTAAAAAGACATGCAAAAAGAGATGCCATTGGATGGTATGTGTGAGGTCTGTCTTGCAGAACATACTGACCAGGGAAGAGTTGTTTGTAACAGAACACCTCCTCTTATATGAGGTGAGTGAGTTGGGTTTAACACCGCTTTTAACAGTATTCCAGTTATATCGTGGCGTGTCAGCTTAAAGTGGGAGGAAAGCCCGAAGTGATGCAGGTCTCTGACGTTTATCACTTCGGTGAAACCCACGAGCACGGGTATGGTGCTGACAAACCTAGAAACATAATCGGGGCGAACCGGGATTCGAACCCACAATCATAGGTTTCTGGTGTGCCCAAGGGACGCAACTCTGCACAGCGAATCGCTGCACCTTAGACAACTGGGCCACCCGTGCCCCCTTATATGGGGTGAGGTTAAAGTAGGCTGAGTATGCTTCTCTTAGCTCCAAGTTACGGGGTCCTTCTTTGGATCAGCATCCTGTGTGAAACCACGGAACACATTATTACCCGAGTTCATACTTTATCTGCCTCAGTAACAAAAAAGGGTTTTCAGAAGCAACCCTAACACAAGTTCTTATTCTACTCCTAAGCTTTGTGACAACACTTTGATTTTATCATGGCTTAGATCCAGCTTCCTCGTGTACTTCTCATGATTGAGGTCCTAATACAGGCTAGGGTATTTGAGCCCCACCATCCAACCGTGCAATAAATCCATAGTGTGAGATAGGAAAAGTTTGATAAATTTGTTCATTTTACAATAAATTGTATATTCATAAATACTTATCCTATCTCACATGCTAAACACCCACCATGCCATCCCTGCATTGCAGTTACACCAGCCTGTACGCTCTAGAATGAGAATGAGGGTGCAGGGAAAGTCAGGTGAATGGGTCATAGGGGTCGCATTGAAGTGGTTTGTAGTGGTGTATGACCCAGGATTACAGCAGTGACTATGGTGATATATGGGATGTGTTGGGGTAAGTTGTTTTTTAAAGCTGGAAACTTTGTTCTAAGACATTTCCGCACCAGGATCGAAGAAAAAGGAGGAATGCATAGTGTGAGATACAATAAAGTATTTATACATATACAATTTATTTCAAAATTTACAATTTTGTCCTCAGGTGGACCCGAGATCTACAACCTGTGTTACTACTACTCAAATCCCTGCCGTAATGTGGAGGACAGATATGTCCAGTACAACCGCGAACGTGTGTTGGACTTCCACTCTGAGGTAGAAGCAGTTCCTGGGTGGAGTGAGGGTGATGGCCGTCAAGATATCCCCCATCAGCTGTTTGATTTACTTGTTGACTCCGGTGCAGATGTGAACCAGGTTCCGAAGTTAAAACCTGACAGTGACGTTTCCCACGCGGAATGGCTGGAGAGGCTTGAGGAAGACCATCTGTGGACTGTTCAGGGGACGGTTGATGGCCAAGGAAGAACAGACGGTTATGAGGACGCAGTGACTTTTTTTCAAACTGAGATTTTCGACGAAAGTCTTGTGTTTAGTTTGTTAGACAAAGCTCAGTATGAAATACTGGAAAAACTACTGAGAACTCCTGGATATAACATTAACCAGCCTTCCCTGCACTGTCCTCTGTACTTTGCTATGTCCAAGTTATCATATGACCCATTCAAACTCCTGCTCCAGTATGGCTGTCAGCCACGATTCTGGTATACATCAGGAAAGGAGAAGAAACTGTTCAGTGATGCAGATTTTGCTGATCCTAATTATTTAGACAAAGGATGGCTGCATTATCTACTCAGTTTCAGATGGACTTTCTGTATGCCAGCATCTGCCATCAACCGGAAGATCCGGTTGCTTGTGCAAGCTGGATATGACGTAGCGCAATCCGAGTGGCTGTTTGACCCAGCAGTGCCAGTGTCGGACGGCCACATGGAGGACCATGAACAGCTTCTACCACTTATAGATTGGCTCCGTGAAAAGGCTTCAACACCAAGACCTTTGAAGGAGATGTGTAGGGTAGTTGTGCGATATGCTATCAAGGATAACTTCATCAACGGGATTCACAATTTACCAATACCCGAACCTATGAAGGGATATCTGATGTTGAAACAATAAACAGGACAATATATCTGTATCATGCACATGAACCTTGTACAGCACTATCCCACAGAGCAAATTATATTCCTTGATCCACGGGGCATTTGTCACTAAACGTGGTTACCATAGCTACAGTTCTATATCTATCGTCAAAAGTTCAGGACAACTTGTCAAAATATTACAGCAAATGTTTCTTAAGAAAACAATGTGAAATGCTGGACTGCCTCATTGATAGCATCTGTGTGAAATTTGGTGATAGGGCATTGAGGCACAAAGTATGTGTGTTCTCCTTGCTGATCTGTTTCTTTGTGCATCCGAGTCAGAATTTTGTTTTGGTTTGTCAATGGCAAAATCAAAACAAGGGTATTTGGCCAAGAAGTTCAACTTAAGCTTCAGGTACATCAATGATCTGCTAGAAATAAGAGAATAGTGAAACTGACTCATCTGTTTCATGTTAAGATCTGTACATTTAAGTTGAGCAAGACTTCAGCAGCTTTGAGTTTTATGATTGAGCATGCTCTTTCTGCACAGATTTCAAAGAGTGTCATATGACTCTTGCTCGGTTGTCTGTTCAGGGTCACAACCAGTCTTGGTTCTCAGGCACCCTCCGCATCATCATAAAGTTTGCTGCACGTTTCGTTTTTATTTCCCAAACAAAAAAAATCCTTAAATATTCCAAATATAAGTCCAACGCTAGTCAAAAATTGTATTCCAGTGTTTTACTCATCAAGGAATACATTTATGTTGGGGGGCCCTTTCCCAGGTTGATTGTACACAACTGTTTATTTGGTAACATACTTGTTTCAACACCCCCGTAAAAAAAAAGAGGAAAAAAGGACACCACCTCCCGCACTGTTATAAAAAAATATTGCCTGAGACCCAATTCTTTTATTTTTTAAGGCTTAGCAAAGTTTTTGAAACTTTTATGGCAGACATTTCCAAATTTGATGCATCAGTGACGTAAATGATGTCCAATGTAATTCCCTATTTTGACTTGTACCATATGTTCCCAGGATTTTTCAGGTGATCAATTGACTTACTTTTGCATGTGTTTGTGACTAATGCCTACGATGAGGAAGAATACGCCTACTTTTCCGCAAACACCTGGTACATTAAATGGACAAAGGTACCAAGGTACCATATTGGACTTTTGTGCTGTGCCTTATTTCGACAACCATGCACTTGCCACACATCCTGTCTTCATGGACGATAATACCCAACCCTACCGAACACAAGCTTTGACTGACCATCTCCAGAATAATGCCATTGAGACTCTATATATATTGGCCATCTTGAAGACCAGACCTGAATCCAAATTGAGCATCTATTGGATCATATGGGACGTAGGGTTAGAGCCATGGACTCTCCAGTACAGAATGTCAAAGAATTGACCTAGGCATTGCATGAGGAATGGCAACACATCCCTCAGTTGAAGATCAGACATCTGATTTTGAGCTTGAGCAGACATTTTGCGGATGTGATCTGTACACAGGGTGGCTACAACGGATACTGACTTCAACGTTCAACTGTTGATCATTTAACTGTGACGTGGGTATAAACGTTACTAAGTCACATACATGTTGATTTGTCCATCTCATTCCTGACAGTCACCATACTCATTCTATCTCTATTTAACAGTTCTTGTAGTAGCTGGCAAATGAAGTTGCTCTTTTTCTTTGCAAGGGCTTATTTTCGCTATTTTTCATTAAATCTACATCTTTTTTTTACATTAAGTTACACTATTGATTGCTTTTGTTTGGCTTTCCAGCGTCTCCTTATCTATCTATTGTATGATTTTAAAAAAATTCTTGGGGTGCGAAATAATTAACAAGGTGTATTGTAGAAGGAATCATACACGCTGTGATATAAATAACATACTGCTCAAAGTGGCGTTAAACGAAACTCACACTCTCAACCCCTGACTCACTAAGATTTAGAAAGTGGGGTACCACACGTTCGCATATGATCCTTGGGTACAATGTGTGAAGCTCATTTCTGATGTCCCCAGCCGTGATATTGCTGGAATATTGCCAAAAGCGGTGTAAAACCATACTCACTCACTCACTCACTCACTCACTCACTCACTCACTCACTCACGCATAGAATCAGTCAGCCTAAAGGAATTTATTGTTTAAAAATAAATATTAATATTAAAGAGATATGGTGTTTAGTTGATGTTTATATACTGAGTCAAATTAAAAACTTCACATTTTAAAAATTAATCCCATATATGATATACAACGGACAAATGTATCAGAGAAGGTAACTTTTAATTATTAATGTCCAAAGAATGATTTTAATTAACGGTGGTAACCATAATTTGTTCCAAGCACCTACGGTATTCGGTAATAACATCAACAGTTTAAATCATAAGTCCCAAGCACGAGAATCTGATGGCACACAAGTTCAGTAGCTGTATGGCCACCATGTGCGTTGACAACTGCTACGCAACGCCTCAGCATGGACCTTGTGATGCTTGTGAACACATGATTGGGAAGACGACGCCATTGTTGCTGCAAAATGGTGCCAAGATCTTGCAAATTCTGTGGTTGGTTCTGGAGAGTGCGCAGACTTCTGCCAAGAGCATCCCAGACGTGTTGGATGGGATTGAGGTCGGGAGACCTTGACGGCCAGTCCATGACGTTGACTCCCGCATTCTGAAGGAAAGTCCTTGTCAAAATTGCTGTGTGGGGTCTGGCATTGTCCTGTTGGAAGATCAAACCGGGTCCATGTGCTGCCATAATAGGCAGAAGTTCTGGTGCCAGTACCTGGTCGCGGTAAGCAGCAGCGTTGAGGTTGAGGTTGAGGTCGTGCTTGAAGGTAAGCAGTTCTCAGACGGTTTCGAACAGTTTGCGCACTCAGTCTACCCCTAAACTGTTCATTTCTGGTTGACGTAGCCGTCAAAAATCGGTTACGGAGGTGACGCAAGACAATCTGACGATCCTCTGCATGTGATGTCACACGTGGTCGACCTGGCCGAGGGCGATCAGCGGTGGTACCCGTTTGCTGTAGACGCGTCTGTAAATCATAAACAGTCCGTCGACTACAACCCATCGTCCTTGCGACTTCAGCTACGGACGTTTCCTTCTGCAACATGCCGATGGCACGTTCACGTTGCACATTTGAAAGGCGTGGCATGACAAATGGCCGTAAAGACTTTTGTTTTCTTGTGTTTTTCTTTTTTTGTTAATGACTGCTAACACGTATGGCTGAAAACACGTGCGGTATTATGGCACATGACCAATTGCACGTGAAAAACCACTTTTGCCACTATAGTGCTGTGCACATGATTTTGATCGATTCACCTGCACAAAAACGGGTGTTATCTGAAGACAATACGTGGCCATTACTGTTTAAATACACAATAAGGGCCCACAATGATAACTGGTCAAAATGTTAAAATTTTAGGATTGTGAAGTTTTTAATTTGGTTCAGTATACATTATTTTCACTTGTTGTGTCACCATGTACATTTACAATGAGAATGTATGTGTCTGACATCAGATTTTTAAGGTCTGTGATTTCCTGTGTTTGACACATTGCCAATAGATAACCCACAAAAACAGTTTGTTGTGAGAAATGTTTGTGAAAATCTTATGTATATGGGTTGTTGAAGCTCCTATGCACATGAGTTATGAAGTTCTCATGTAGTTGGGTTCTTAACGCTTACATGGTTGTTTTGTGAAGAACTTGTGTGGTAGGTTTGTGAAGCACTTATGTGGTTGGTTTATGAAGCACTTATGTTGGTTGGTTTGTGATGATCTCATGTGGTTGGTTTGTGAAACACTTATGTGGTGAGGTTGTGAAGCACTTGTGTGGTTAGTTTGTGAAGCAGTTATGTGGTTGGGATGTGAAATACTTATGTGGTTAGTTTGTGAGGCACTTATGTGGTTAGTTTGTCAGGCACGTATGTGGTTAGTTTGTGAAGCACGTATGTGGTTGATTTTGAATTAAGTGAAGCCATCGGCATGGAGCCCCTGTGTGGTTTGATTAGAAAGGATGCAATACATTAGATACTCTAAGATAGTATTTGGATGAATAATGTCCGTTACAATCGAGGCCTCCTTCATTCAAATCTTTTGAATCAACACCACGCAACGAGGGCACTTATTTGCAGATCAATCTGATGCAGATCCTCTGGGCTTGTCAAATCTGCACAGTCGAACTTGATGGTATGGAAACAACGTGGCCGTTCTCTGACGGAGGCTCATTAATACCAGTACTGGATGGACACGATGCATTGCCCTTTTTGTGTGTCTGTTCTTGCCTAGATCTACAGATCACATTTTCAGAAATGTCCATGCTAGGATTCACTTTTTTATCCGAAAGTGACGAGCACGCCTCGTTGTAAGTCAAAATAGCCTGAGGCCATATATGCCAAGGCAGTGGATCAGAAATAACCACTCATTATTTTTTTTTTCAAAACTGGAGAAATTAAAACTCCTGTTGCGCTACGATGTACACTGACGGAAAACAGTTGGGAAAGGCAGTTATTTTGGCCAGGTAAAACCCGTCTGCAAATGACGCATGCGACTCACTCGCCTTCGCTTCACTACCGATAGGTGCAGCAATTAGCTGATTGGATTTCAGAAGCGTCGCTGACAAGCTGTAATCAATACAGGTCATTCTGTTAAAAAACACAGCTCATGTCATATAGTTTGAGGAATTTAAGTCTCGCACCGATCAAAAAATATCAGTGTCATACATCATGTTATTTAGGCCGTGGAGCCCATATTCTCATCTCCCTATCAAAAGATTGATGTCTTCTTGAGGAAACTTGTCAATTACCACATCGACCGTGTTTATATCAAGAAACTTCAAAGCTTTAAAAATGATATTTTTCGATAGCATGACAGAAGGGGCTCGTTAGCGGGCGATAATTGACTGATCAATATCAGCGATATCCTGTCATGGGAGAGATGGGAGGCGTTGAACGTTTGTCAATATGCGCTCTGATTTATGATATTGATGACGTCACGAGATAACTTGTCCACACATGCGTTCATCGCAGGTGAAGGATTTTGTAAAACGGAATGCGATAACTGTCAGAAATGAGATTTTATAGGGGAACTAGGTTTAGAAAAGTATTATTATGTTTTATAATTAGTGTTAAAATCTAAAAGCGGTGTTTAAATTATGTATCATTTATTTTCGAAATTTGACTTGTTCAACCTAGCTTTATATAAATGAAAAGAATATAAAGGTGAGGTGAGGTGAAATTGGGTTTAACGTCGCGTCCAAGATTATTGCACTTATATAGCGACGTGCATGCACGTGTATGTGTGTGTGTGGCTGCTTGTACTAGTCCGGACTGATGCCGATTTATAGTGCTAGCTCACTAAGATACCATGCCGCAGTTTAACATGAATACCCCACTCAGACACAGTATACTGACTCCGAGCCGACCAGTCCTTGTTTTAGCCCCTTAATGCCGAGCGCCAGACAGGGTAACAACAAGTACCATCTTTTAACGTCTTTTTGTATGACGCGGCCCGGGATCGAACCCCGGACCTTCCGCTCTCCGGGCGGACGCTCTACCACAAGACCACGGAGGCGGTCGAAAAGAATATTAAGAGTTAGGTTCATCAGTGTCACGACCAAGCACCTGCCATTCAATTTTCCTAAAAGAATTAATGACTACTCAAAACGCAGCCAGTGATACGATACTTTTTGACATTTCTTGTCGGACCCGAATCCGTTGTCACCCGGTGGGACAGCCTTGTGGTTATAGCATTCGCTTGTCTAGCCGAAGACCCGGGTTCGATTCTCCACATGGGTACAATCTGCGAAGTCCATTTCTGGTGTCCCCCGCCGCGATATTGCTGGAATATTGCTAAAAGCGGCGTAAAACCAAACTCACTCACTCACTCTGTTGTCGAAATGAATAGAACGTCTGCCGAAGGAGGGAAAGGGGTGTGGTTCGCTCACTAGCCTCGACATACCAGAGAGATGTTAAAAGATGGTACCTCTTATTACCCTGCCTGGCAGTCACCATTAAAGGGATAAAACAAGGTCTGGTGGACTCGGAGTCAATATACTGTGTCTGAGTGGGTATCCATGTTAAACTACGGCAGGGTAGCTCAGTGGGCTGGTCTGAGTGGGGTACCGATCCTATTAAAATATCAATATCTCTGGGGATTCAGGGGCTGAATATTTGCCCATTGCCCCATGCGTGTCGACTAAAATGAGGATCGAATGGTTATAATGTTTGATAATGCAGATTGTGTGTCATCGCACCCTGACAGCGTGGGCGTTGCTCATTATCTACAGGTCAACGTCCTGTAGTTGGAATGTATGAGACTGCAGCAAAATACAACATTTACGCACTCACTCTAATAAATCACACATACACTCTCATTATTCATAAAACTCACATAGACCGCATACGTGGTCTAGTGGTAGAGCGTCCGCCCGGAGAGCGGAAGGTCCGGAGTTCGATCCCCGGCCGCGTCATACCAAAAGACGTTAAAAGATGGAACTTGTTGTTACCCTGTCTGGCGCTCGGCATTAAGGGTCTAAAACAAGGACTGGTCGGCTCGGAGTCAGTATACTGTGTCTGAGTGGGGTATTCATGTTAAACTTGGACGCGACGTTAAACCCAATTTCACCTCACCTCACCTCACCTAAAACTCACATATGGTGGAACAATAGACGAACATGTTCATGAGGACCAGACTCCACACTTTACAGACCGATGTAGTATAGCTGGAATATTGTTGAGTGCGGCGTTAATCAGCAAACACACAAGCAAAAAACATGTTCATGAAACGTATACTGGCTTCACAAAGTCAGAAATGTTCTGAAAACGTTGGGTTTTTTCCAATCTGAGTATGACCTGCTCCTCTTCTGTATACAAGGGTGTGGGTTCGAATCCCGGTTCGCCCCGATTATGTTTCTAGGTTTGTCAGCACCATACCCATGCTCGTGGGTTTCACTGAAGTGGTAAACGTCTGAGAACTGCATCACTTGGGGCTTTCCTCCCATATTAAGCTGACACGCTGATATAAAAGCGGCGTTAAACCCGTCTCACTAACTCTGTATACAAACCTCAAGTCGGAACCAGTCTTTGTTTTTCATATTTATTCATGTTTTGCCATATTTGGTAACTTTTATTTGATTGTTTGAGCAAACACCCACCACCTCTTACTGTAGTTTGTT